CAGTAGGGACCTTCCGAGTTAAAAAAAAAAAGTTAGGGACCACACACGCAAATTACCCTAAACCATAGGGACCATTCGTGTAATTTACTCAATATATAAATATATTTTTATGGGCTATTATGAAAATTGATTAAAAAAACTCAATAGTTTTTTCTTAAATACTACATAAATGTCTTTTAGATTTGGAACTTTTTATTTAAAGTAGAGACCTGCTTTTTAACAGAAAAAAATGAACCGAAACCGAAACCGGTTGGAACCAACTAGTGGTATTCGGTAGGGCTTAATGAATAATCACTAACATTATTTAAAAGTTAAATGTACTTACTTCCAAACAAAACTTGTTAAAAGCTAAAAGTTAAAAACTCGTGAATGCTCAAACACGTCCTAACTCTATAAAGTTTAAGTTTAATTAATAATCACTAACATTACCTCTTTGTTACTTAGTTCATAGTCCATCGATCTCTCCACATTTAATTATGTGAAATAATTAAGAACGCTGACCTTGTTTTTTCCCAACCATTAGTTGAATTCTCAAATGCATTGTATGTAAACTTGGCATTTCATCTCACTAAAACCATTTCATTGAACTATGTATTAATTGTGATTTGTGAACTCTTATACTACCAAAGAAAACACTTATAATACTGCTAAAAATAGTAATTTAAAACTTATTAACCTTTTTATTGGATAACTTATGAAAGATGGTAAAAATATACATAAAAGGCCCAAAATATTTACTGTAGTAAGTTGAAAGAATAATCTTTTAAATTTTGAGATTTTTTTTTTTTTTTTTGGGATTTAAACTTGCAAAAAAAATTTTAATTTTCTTTGTTATAAGGTCCTTCATATTTTTTAAGATAGTTGCTAATATTTTTGGTATATTATTAATAGTAAATTTTAAAAATTTAGGTGAATCAAACTAGGGGTGAGCAAACCGGTTTTTTTTTTTTTCAAACCGAACCAGTTCAAAAAACCGATTCGTTTCTGATTCGTGAATAATAAAAACCGGTTCAACCTTAAACCAGTTCGGTTCAAACCGGTTCCGTCATTATTAAACTCGAACCTATCTAAACCGGTTACACCGGTTCTAAATCGGTTCTAAACCGGTTTGATCGGTTTGACTACCGGTTCTAAACCGGTTCATGGTTATTTAACCGGTTCTAAACCGGTTTCAATGTCTAAAATCTCGAACGGGTTCAAACCGACGGTTCGGTTCTTGAATCGGTTCAGTCCATAGTGGACCGGTTCATGGTGAACCGGTTTACCGGTTCGGATCCTGAACCGGTTTTTTTGTGCAAGCCTAAATCAAACGACTCATCACATATATTAAACTCACCCCTAACCCCTATTTCTTATATATTGTTAGAAAGAACTGATGTCAAATATTCAATCAAGTATAATAATGATAATGACTTGTTTAGATACATTTTTAAAAAAGGAAATTGAGTAACTATAAATGAGGTTTTTAAAGAAAATAATTATATTTTTTCAGAATTTTTAAAAATAACCATTTTCTCCGGAATATTTAATTCCGGAGTATTGATCATATTCCAGAGTTTTTATTTATTTATTTATTTAGTTTTCAAAGTTTTTTTTTAATTTTGGGATTCAAAATGTTACATTTTGAAATATTTAATGTCACTTTTTCTCAATAAAATATTTAATTTCATGCACTAACATGGTATATGTTCACATTACGATAAATTTCAAAAAAAAACCCTTACATTTGTCGGTTTTTGTCGGTTTCATCCAAAGTCGTATTTAAATCCATTAATGCCTCAAATTTGAAAAAAAAATGCAATTTTACCCTTTTGCAAATTTATGTTGTAAAATTGAACCTGCTATCAAACTTAAAGGTTTTAATGAACCAGGAAACCAAACTTAAGGGTTTTTATGAACGAGAAAAAAAGGTAAAACCAAATATTTCTGTCAAACGTAAGGGTTTTAATAAACATGGGTAAAATTGAAAAAAAAAAAAGTTGCAAATTTGAAGCATTAATAGACATAAAATATAACTTTAGGTAAAATCGACAAAAACTGTTTTTATGTCACATTAATATGTTTTTTTTTTTACTTTTTGATAATTTTAAGTAAAAAATGATTTTTTTTGTCGAATTCCGGAATTGTTCTTTGAATTTCGGACTTCTTCTTGAAATTTCAGAGGTTTTTTTTCCCGAAATCCAAAACTTTAGTCTGGAATGCGAAATGCCGTTCCGGAATTAATCAAAAAATTTGTTTTTTCTTTGTCTGGAATACTCCATTGCAGACAAAGTGGTTATTTTTACCAAAAAAAAAAAGTTGGATTATTTTTTTCAAATAAAAAGCAGTTAGATTACTTAATTTCCTTTTAAAAAATTATCATCTATAAATATTATTTCCTAACAAAATTGATGAAAAAAAGATGGATAAGTAATTTTAAAATTTCGAAAAAAGGATATATCAATAAGCAACTCTAGTTATATTGTTTCATGATAGTAATTCTCCAAACTAACTATTTGAACTCTTACATAATCTATGAATCACATTCAAAATGAGTTTATCCATACATTACAAATTTATTATTCGTTTAAACTAGACCCGTCAATTTGATACACGACATGATACAAGATGAGTTTTCCATGTATGAGTTTTAAAAATTCATGTTATGTCTATTCATGTCGATACGAATTCTAAATTCGTGTTTCGTGTCTCTTACACGTCTCAAACACAAATTTACATGTTTAAACACGTATAAGACATTAAATAAATTTGTGTGACACGTAAAAACACATATATACATGTATAGACTCGAACACGTAACAAGTATACACGCTTAGAAACACGTACACATGAATTAAATACATGTTTCCTAACTCAAAAAATGATATTAGAACAATACATGTATAACTTCACGTAAATCTATATTTCTATGTAACAAAGTTAAAAACGTGTCTATTCGTGTCTTGTCACACATATTAATTACGTATCATGTTCATGTTTGATACCCAAAACACATTTTACAATTCGTATTTTTTAAATTAGTGTTTGACACTTATACACGACACCGGACACAAAAACACAAATTGTAAGGTCTAGTTTTTTTTTTTTTTTTTTTTTTTGGAAAGGGAACTTCCCTAACGAGGGTTTCCGGGCCAGCTTTCGCGCACCGACTAATCCTCCGCTGCAAACATAAAGCTTTGCTTCATGCCCTGGAGTCACTGCAGGCGAACCTCCATGGCCACAAGGGCTGAGTGGTGTCAGGATTTGAACATGGGTCAATAGGTTATCCACCATATCTTCCACATGCCTTACCAAGTCACCACAACCCAAGTGGTTATTGTCAGGTCTAGTTCAAACCTCAAAAAGTTGATTTCCTTAAAAACAAACCAGTCCACACCACCACGACTACCATGTGACATGTAAGTCAGATACTTAGTAATCTGTTGTTATTCACCCGAACCCCTTAAACCTTAGATTACAAGTTAATTAAATAATCAATTTTATAACATACATCATTTCACTCCTAGAAATATAAATTAAATAACAAAATCATTTGCTTATGAGTTATGGCAATCAACAATGTGGCTTCTCTTACACAACTTAATTCAACAAGTTACCATAGAACTAATATGCCAAGTCATAAAACAAAGACCAACAAGTTTAAATTACTAGTCTTGCATGAAGGAAAATTAAACAAAACAAAATCCATATTTTTTTTTTCTAAACAAATCAAAAACCCATATTCAAGACTCATCTCATAAGTCATAACCTAAATTCTTAATAAACATAGTGTATAAAGTATAACTAAGTGTATAACTCAGAATCAAAGTAATGATTCTTAAGACCAAACTTCAACCCTTCATCTTCACCATTATCATCAAATCTAACTTCCATTCCCTTGAAAACATCTTTAAGCAATAAACTTTTAACCACTGATGTAACAGAGCCACCAACCTCCGGCCATGTCACACACAAAATTCCCTTTATACCCTTCATCTGGCACCGTCCCAACAAAGCAGCACCCAACCCTTCAACAACACTTCCCGAGGGCAAATAGTCCAAGCTTTTCAACAATGGAGCTCCTTTTCTTTCAGCTGTTGTCTCTAGCTTCATTGCAAATGTATCATCTGTTGAGATTCTTCCACGAAAGTTACGCCTTTGAATCGAATCAAGAATCAAAACCCTTTTGGGAAGAATATGTTCGCCAATTAGGGTTTTGGCAATTGCGTGTGTTCTTTCTGAAGGAACTGAGTACTGGAAGTTTGCAAGGATTATGGAGTCATTAATGGCGTATAAGTTGCAAGATTTGTCTTTTGGAGATGGGGTGATGGTGTTTCCTGAGGGGGAGATTTCGGGTAGAATTAGGGTTCCGATTAGGGTTTTTGAGGATAGGTGGTGGAGTAAGGAGAGAGATGGGGGAGAAAGGGCGATGATTAGGAGAGAGGGTTGGAGGGTAGTTTTGGAATTTGGAGAAGAGAGGAATAAGAAGGGGGATGGGAGGGGAGGTGAAGGTGGGGTGAAGTTATTGAGATCTTCTAAGAAGAACCTTGAAGGAGGTGGTTGTTCTGTTAGTACATCTTCCATGTCTTTCTTTGATTATTACCTTGAATTTATGCAAGAATATGTGAGATATAAAATATAATCAGAATAGATGATTCCATATCACTTTAGGTCCAAGTGTGATCAATGCATAGATTGTAAATTGATGAAAGCAAGCATATGTAAAAGATACAAAATTTATGGAATTGGGTGTCATTCAATATGCACTAATGATGCATACAAAAGGGTAACAATGTCTAACTATTGTAAAAACACCATTTTTCAGAGTAGTCAAACATGGCATCATGATGAATTCCATGTCAACTGATGACTTCAGTATTCAGATACTGATACGTAACATTGGGCAAAATCAAAAGTTCTTGGGAAGAAGAACTAGAAACTTACAATGAGTACTAATTTAAACATCCTAGGTCTAACTCTAGTTAACAGAGGCTTATAATTAGGTAAACCATTATCACGTTGTTCTTTCTCTTGTAAATCGATAAAACAATTCCAATTACAGCTGATTTAACTTTCCTACTGACTATATGAGATCAAAATCAACGAGAATACACCTGCTGCTAAACTTACCTTTCTAGTGAAACAAATCATACAAATAAACATAAAATAGTTTAGAATTTTTTGACCTCGGACCCTAATCCCTCTACTACTCTGCTCAGCTACACCATCTATAATTTAACTAAACTACTTACCAAAGCGTTGATTAGTTCTTAAACGGAAACAGCTACTCGATCACGACACGAAAGCGGGAGAAAAACCCTTACAGGAAGTTAATATCCAGATTTCGTGAGCAGAAAGAAACGATTGGACTGTAATTAAAAATGCATTAGAACTGAAAGAAAACATACCGATTACAATCAAGCCGGCGTCTATTAATCAAAATTAGAGCAGTGAAGTGAAAAGCTCCGGCAGAAATCCGGTAATGGCCACTGAAATCTGCCTTGAGGTTTCAAGGTTGCCTCTTTTATGCATTTCGTCTTAATCGGGATAATTTGTTTTCCATCTTTGGTCCCTGAAGTATTTGGGTATTGTTTAAAAAGCCCCTTCTTTCTATACATATTATTCTGATAGCCACCTTAAAATTTTACATTGTTTAAGTTGGGTCCTTCAATATTGAAAGTGCAAATACTTCTTTGAAACTAGTTTAATTAGCTTGTTGACAAGAAGTTGTATTTTCCAATGATGATAGATGTAGAAAATCATAAAAATATGTTTAACTTTTAGTTATTTGGTTGTTTTATATATATTGACAAACGATAAAAGTTATTTGTCTTCTTTAAACTTTAGATATACTATAAATAACAATATATATTATTTCTATAAAAAAGTTATCCTTACATCAACTTGTTCTGCAAAGGGTTGTTCTTACATTAGCTTTTCACCTGCCCACACTATCTAACCCCAAAAAACATCACATGTTATGTAAATCCAAACAAATTCTTGAATAATTCTTGGATTTGAATCTATAAATGGATTTGCCTAATGAATAGGAATCTTATAAAAAATTTAAACTTCCACATTACAATTGCTAAGACTCAACCTTTGACGATTAATAATCATTCACATACAACTAAAAAGAAACGACTATAATACAATGTAGGTTTATCATGTAAAACCCATTTAAAGCAATTCGAATGAATCCAAAACCCACAAGATGCATGATCCACCAATTAAAACCTAGATAAAAGGAAATAGCTTTCACATAATAGGCAAAAGAAGAACCCTAGAAACCAATAATATAAAGTGAAAGCAAAATGAAAAAAAGTTTGAATCGATTGCAAAATCTACTAATGGTACATGAATGAAGTTGATCCAAGAATCCCACCAAGATCAATTCCTTGGTGATTATAAAAGTCTCTTCAAAACCTAAAAAACTATCAACAAACTACAAAAAAAAAAATTAAAAAAAAAAAATAGAAAAGATAACTTGTCTGCAAACTAGCATGCAATGAGGAAAGATTGACTTTTTTTTTATAGCAATTTGAATCTCTCTATCTATACAAGTCTTTCCCTCACTAGTCACACAGATTTAAGGTTGATTGAAAAAACATCCCTCCACCTGCAAATTAATAATAATAATAATAACAAAACAACTGAATCCATAAAGATCTTAATACTTTTTAAATATTAGACTCCCATCCCACGTTGACTTCATTTTGACTTCCCTCTCATCACCAATCAATCTTCATGTTCTTTATCACTATCCGAATCTACAAACATCACAATAACAAAAAAAAAATATGGTAAATTACACAAAACGGTTATTACTTATTATATTTATATTTTATAGTTAAAAAAATAATAATAATAATAAAATACCAGAGCGAACATCATCACTAAGTTTGCCTCGATCTTGAATTTGTTTGACAAGCATGCGATACATAAGGACCCACCAGTAAATATGAAGAACAAGCAAACAGAAAAGAAGGGTGTTGAAGACATAGTAATACATGGGCCCCTCTTTAACATGTTTCTCTTTATCCAATGTTTGAACAACTTCATAACTGCAATTATCAAATCATTAATAATATAATAAAAATTTGGATTTAAAAAAAAAAAAAAAAAAAAAAAGTAATAACCTTGTACTCCATAAGATCCAAAAAGGGTAATAAATAAGGCGAAGAAGCACCCATGAAATTACAAACAAAATAAATGAAAAGCTTGCAAGTGCTTCGGCTCCACTGTATTTAGACATCTTTCCAACTTCAAGAAACACATCACTTGCATCATGAAGTGCTAAAACAACCGATCCAGCTCGTGCAAACCTACACAATTTATTTTTTATTTAAAAAAAAAAAAAAAAAAAAAAACATGAAATAGCAACATACTTATTATATTTCTTTGCACATTATTTATAGCAACATGTTCTTTTCCAATAATAGCAATGTGATTAGATTTTGTTTACACCAAAATTCTAATTTCACACTGTGGTTTTTCCAATTTATTGTAATTCTGAACATTTAACCGGTCAACCTGGTTTTGATGATGTGGTATGATGACGTGTTGATTTTGATGACATGGAATGTTGACGTTTCAATATTGAAAAAAAAAGGGAAATCTCTAACAAAGTCCCAGTATTTTGGGTCAATTTACGGTTTAATCCCAACTTTTATTTTTTTGAATGGAAAAGTACCGATTATTTTATATTTTGCTCAACTTAATGAAATAGTCCTTATTTTTTTCAAAAGAAAATGATAGATTATCGTATAAAATTAGACACTCGGGATTTTTTTGTTCAAAAAATAAATGTTGGGATTTAATCGTAAACTGACCCAAAATATTGGGACTTTATCAAAGATTTCCCAAAGAAAATGTTACCAAAGACATTAAATTTTCACTTTTTTCAATTTTGACACTAAGTTTTCATTTTCTTTTTTCAATTTTGAAACTCAATTTTTTTTTGTTCCAAATCGGACATTTTTTTAATTCCAGTTGAAACCGTATAAATTGTTTTTTTTTTACGTTTGAAACCGTATAAATATATTTTTTCATTTAAAAACCATATTTTTGTATAAATACAAGGTTTTTTTACATTCAAACCATAATGTTATGTATAAATTATAAGTACGTATTAATTATATTATAACCGTATTTTCATGTACTATTTGGTGACATGGCATGATGACAGAGTAAACATAAAGCCACATTTGGGATAATCCAAGAAAACTTAATTTAGATTTCATGCAATATCTAATAATATTCAGAAACATCGTTTTTTTTTTTTTTAATTTTAATTTACATTGCTATTATGGGTAAACAAATATAAAAAGTATGTTGCTATTATGGGGATCTAATGGTGGAGATACCTGCAAATATAAGACATTGCAATGAGGATAGCAGTTGCAACATGATGCCCCATGGAAACACCAAAATCGGATCTTCTTGTTTCCCAGAAAATCAAAGCAAAGATGGAGTAGGTGTAGAATCCACCCGTATACATGTAAAGTCCTTTCAATTTCAGCCTGAAAATCAATTCAAAATTGTTAAACCAAGGAAGATGAATTAGTATAAATGATGGGAATCAAAAAGGGTATTTTGGTCTTTTAACAAAAATGAAGAATGAAACTGAATTCCTTCAACCCAAATGGCGAAATCCAACAAATAAGAAATCTTGAATTCTATTCCATGGGATTTGAAAGATGCAAATGGAATTGGATTTATGTGTGTGTTTGTTAAGGAAACATGTCATGTGATGGAATGGAATCATGGATTCCAATGGAATTGGAATTTGGGAGGAGGGCTTACTTCATTTTCTGATCAGGCCATCTTTGATCTCCAGGGCCTATCCAGAAATTGTTGGTGTTAGTGGCCCAAGGTTCATTATACGTTACAGCAAGGGCTAGGATTTCTGCTGAAAGATAATAAACACATTTCCATGCTGATTCTTTAAATTTTCTTATCTTTTTATTCCTGTCATCTGTCTCAACATCCAACTTCTGCTGCCCTTTGTTAAATATTAACCACCTACCTACACGCTGCAACAATCATAACACCCAAAAAGGGTAAAATCGTCATTTGCTCACATTCTTTGAAAGAAATCTTGATTATGCCTTATTAGTTTCAAGATTCATATTGTGCCCTTTTATTCTACCTCTTTATGCAAATCCCAACTGGGTTTCTTGCTTTATCGTATACACAGAAGGGTAAAACCGTCATTTACTCAAATTCAAACCGTTTGTCCAGTCAGGTTTGTGTATTGATTGTCTTTATAAGTTTCCAAGATTCATATTGTACTGTTATTCAGTCCAAGAAAGAAACAACTTTGTTTATTAATCGACTTTAAAAGTTTCAAGATATGTATTCTTCATTTTTATGTCCTAAATATGATCTTATTTATGCAAAGCCACCTGGTTTTTTGGCTTGTCTTTTCTACACAAGGGTAAAATAGTCATTTGCTCACACTCAAACCATAGCATGTATTCAAGTAATGCTACCTCAGTTATACACTTATACCAAATGGCTATAGATATTAATATTGTATAAACAAATAGGCATATAAATATGTAACTGTTATTATCAAGGACATAGATGTATCAGCATCTTCAAGCTAGCATTAACATGGAGTTATCTTGAGTAGAAACTGCTAAAACTTATTTCATTAAAATTATGTTTCCAATTAATGTTACATACCATATCCAAGTAATGAACTGCTCAAACCCTAAAATAATTTACCTAAAACAATAGGAATCTCTGTAAATTTGAAGCTACAATTAGTTGCCATTTAACTGAGCCACCATCAAAAGTAATGTGGGCCTATAAAAGCTTACAACTTTTTCTTGGATAAATAACCTTTTGTTCAGAGTCTTACATGTGAATGAGCTAATATTCTGTTCTTTCAGTAAAGATAAGTGTGACTTGTTCCTCATAGTCACTTTCGATGGTTGTTTACTTGATATAGACTTTAATATTCTATTATAAACCAATTCAAAATTCAATACTAATTTTTCCAAAAATAACCTCATATCCCTTTTGGGATTGGAGGGCTTCCAAGCATATGTACTTAGTATAAAGTTGTTCTAGAAAAAGACAATCAATGGAACTAGTGTTTACACCAAGCTGATTGATTCGATCTAATTCGTTATTACTACTGATGAAATAGCAAACGAAATCGATGAATTAAGTAGATGAAGAACAAAATCTACAATTACCTCAAAAATTAATCTGTCGAGGAAAAATCTAACAGTTGGGAAGAAGATAGCAAAGAGAGGAAGAGCTGCGAAATCTCCATAGGTTGGATATGATTCGTGTTCAAAGTTAATTGAGTTTAGAACATCGACGATACCCATGTCGAAACCTACAGGTTCCAGTTGAGTTGTGCGCAAATCCACCCAGATGAATAATGTGATCCCGATGGGTTTGCTAGCGGAGATATGGAGATTTATTCGATATGCGTCAACGATCCATTAATAAAAGAAGTAAAGTTTCAAAAAAGTCCTTCGACTTCTCTAACCTTTTGTTTTTGCCACTCAACTTTTGTACTATGCATTCCATGCTAGTAAATGGAAATTTAGAAAGGGAAATTGAGTAATATATATATATATATATATATATATATATATATATATATATATATATATATATATATATATATATATATATATAATTCGAAATTGGAACTCCAGAACAAAGACTACAACTCTAAAATGCTATGTTCCAGAGCATATGGTATTTTATCTATATATATATATATATATATATATATATATATATATATATATATATATATATATATATATATATATAGAGAGAGAGAGAGAGAGAACCCACTTTCATATTTTGTTATATCAAATCTGCAAACACTACATACACTCTCATGTGGTTATCTTCGCTCTCATCTCAAACTAGAAGAACACACAAACATTATCACTATTTAGCCACCAACCACCATCCTTGACTGTTGTCACCTCCTACCGCCGACGAACCACCGCCACTAGATCCACAAGCTCTGGTTGGCTCCAAATCTGCTGTTTCAGCTTCAGATTTACGATATCCCTCTTCAGATCTACAATTTCAGCTTTAGATCTACGATTTTCCTCTTCAGATCTATGATTTTCGTCTTCATATCTACTATTTTCAACTTTAGATCTTCGATTTTCTCCTCTATATTATGAGCTCCGACGAGCGGTGATAATCATCACCTTTTCCATCATTGTCGATTGACACTTGGTCTCAGATCTGTAGTCAATAAGTTGTTTCAACTTCACTTTCTCTCTCTAAAATGCAAAACATATCAAATCTGGTGCAATTTGGTCAGATTTAATTGTCGACCTTGTAACCACCGACCACCGCCTAACATCAACTATGGTCTTTCACCAGAACACAAAAAAACGTCATACTCTACTTCGAAGTCCAGATCTAGTTCATCTCTAGATCTTTGACATTCAGATTTGATAGAATACAAGAAAACTTTTCCGATTTGCTTCGTCGGAACAATAGATCTGACAAAAATCATCGCCAACACCACCGTCGATGTGACTCCACCTCTACCATAAACTTAAAATTAAGTACAGAATAAATTGTAAGTATTATGTAAATTAAAATTTGAAAGAAATACTAGCCTACATATCTGAATGTATAAATATAAGTTTTAAGTATAGAATATGGATGTGAATGTATAGCTTTTATGTATTAAATTGTGAATTTAATATATTAAGTTGTTAATTTTATGTATTATATTGTGAATTGATTGTATTAAGTTGTGAATTGATTATATTAAATTGTATTTTTTTTTTTATGAATTTTATGTTAAAATATGAGTATTTGTATTAATTTTCTTGTGCGTATTTTTTTATGGAGTAAATATGTAATAATATATTAGGTTTTATAATTGTGCATTAAACTATAAATTAGTGAATTAATATGTTTATTAAACTGTGAATACAATATTTAAGCTAACAGTGCATGATTTTATAAGGAATAATGGTTGCGACGTTGACATAGATGGTTAGTGCTGACGAGTGGTATGGTGGTGGTAGAGTTTGGGTTTGACTCTCCTAAATTAGTGAATTAGTGATATTATGATTGTATTTAAATTGTAAATTTTGTATACTAAACTATGAATGAACTGTATTAAATTTTAAATTTTATATAGTTTTCATGGTAAAATATATTTCGATGTATGAATGAAAATTTTAGATTGCAAAAATCACAATTTTTCGCTTTTCGTACCAAAAAGACAAAAAAAAAATCAGGATTTTAACATGTTGATTAAGTATTGTGTACATATTTACTTATAAAACGGGGTTCTTACGGTTTTTAATCTTTTATGGTTCTCATTTGAACAACTCCATATATATACATACATATATATATATATATATATATATATATATATATATATATATATATATATGGGGATAGGGAATATGCATTACAGCCCCACCTAAGCTTAGGTACTAAACCTCAAAAATATGTCGTTTTAACATTCTAAATATATACAGTTTGGTTTCACTTGGTAAATATATCATCCTCCATAACATTTCTTTCTTTCATTATCTTTTACCATCTCTTTTTTCTTTCCTCCATTATCGTTTATTACTTCACCCAAATGAACATTACCAAACCCTAAATCTAAACACTAAACCCTAAACCCTAAACGCTAAACCTAAACCCTAAACCTAAAACCTAAACCCTAAACCCTGTTTTTGTCGATCTTGAATTTACATCTTGAAGTATTAATCGTGAATCCATAACCGTAATCTTTATATAGTAAAACAATGTATTTTCAAGAGGTTTAGTACCTAAGCTTAGGTGGGGCTATAATGTATATTCTATTTTCCCTATATATATATATATATATATATATATATATATATATATATATATATATATATATATATATTGTTGTGATATGTCAGAGAATGGATAAGTCGAGGTTGCCGGTGGATCTTGAAGAAACGACTTCCCCTGATATCACAGTACAAAATAAGATAAAGATCGTTAGTCGACGTCCGAGAGGGGATCCCGGGGCGAAGCTCTAATGATCTAGTTAGTATGAGATCTGAGAGAGATGGTAAGTGATTACGGAAAAGAGAGAATTTATCCCCTTCTTCATGAGGAAGAATGATCCTTTTATCCCTGTCTCAAAGGCGTGTCTCTCAAATGATTTTGTTGAGGATTCCCTCATGAGGTGCGACGTGGCATACCCATATTGGAGGGTCCTCCATCACGTCTTTTGCCTCCTTCTCCCATTGCTTGGAAGGAGATCTTCTAAATGTTCACGAAGATCGTGGATATCATCTGATGAGCGCGTGGGACTCTCTAATTGGTCCCACATTTGGCATGGTATGATTTCCCGGAGAAGTGGTTAAGGCGCAACTTTGCACCTTAACTGCCTTATCAACGCTTCTCGTGTTAGCGAAGGCCTGGACTTGGCTTTAGGCTAGGTTCTGACCAGGTCAAGCCTAGTGTCAATTTGACTTCTCTTTTGATGTTTTGTGGAGGGATACGTTAACAAGTCCCTTGAGCTTGTAGGCGTTTGCCTCGGTATGACAACATCGCCGTTCGAGCCTGTATATTGACACGTGTTTGCTTGGGATTAATTATATCATTTGACGGGCCTTAGGCAGCGTCGTTAATGTGTCAGATTCACCGTGAGATGGTTAGTAACACCAGTTTTTTCTTTAAAATCCCCCCTTTTTCCAAAACCATTGATCCTTACTTCCTTTCTTCACCCTCGTTGTATCTATCTGGGCATTCATAGAATTTTTCTTTCCGATCACTTATTTTTTCCTCAACAATGGACCGTTACGGTAGAGTCCCTACTGCTGAGGAGTTCAAATTTCTACAAGATCGCTTCGGTTTCTTACCGGAGCATGGTGTAATGATTCCAGCAAAGGGAGTATCGATCTACGATCGTCCTCCAGGGAAAGTTAGGGTTCCCATTCCTTTGTTCGAAGCGGGGTTACGCCTACCAACATCGGATTTTTTTGATATGATCGTGCAGCATTACAGTTTTACTGTCAACGAGTTAACCCCGAGCGTTGTTAATAAGATCGTCGATTTTGAACTGATATGTCGCTCTTTGGGTTGTGTTCCCACCTGCTGGGTTTTTTGTTACTTTTTATGCTGAACTACAAACTCCGATGTCCGTACCCTAGCTAAGCGATGAGACATTCACCAACTGATCTCTGAGTTGGATACTTCGAAGAAGTACTGGCAAACACAATGGCTTTAGGTCGACCGAAACCTCGTGGGGCATGGGTATCGTAGGAAACTAGACTTTTCCGACCCCCCCCCCCCCCAAGTTGTTTAGTGGGAAATCTGTGAAGAAATGAGAAAAATTCAGTAAACTTAGACTAGAGTAGTCCAAGTGTTGAAAATACTGAAATAGAGTTTCAGAATCGTCAAGTGGCAAGTAATGCGGAAACTAAAGAGTTGTGAATCACAAAGTTAATGATAAAAACATTTTTATATGTTCAAGATCAATGATTCAAAAGTGTCTCATATTCATCAAGATTCAGTTACAAGTGTTTGAATGCTGGACAAGCTAAAACACTTAAATGGCTCTCTAAAGACTAATCTAAACAGCAATTGTGCAGAATGATCTGAAATGAGCAAGGAAGAGCAACTTTATAATGGATCCCAAGGGGCCTATTTATATGCTTTGGAAAACCCCATGACATGGCTTGACCAATCAGGTGTTGACACGTCATCAATACTTAGTCATCAGTTGACACCTTTGCCCCACTTAACGGAGAATAGATGGAATATTCCAATTCCGTTAGTATTCTGTTAGGGTTCCATCCAAGTTATGAGTCTTCATAATTCTTGAACCTTCTTGATCAACATTGAAAAAGTTATGATCAACATGAGCATCATGTTGCTCAATTGTCTTCTTAGATTTCACCAACTTCCAGAAGTGTTGTTGACCAAGTTGAGTAGTTTCTTGAATGTTGGATTGTGTCTTGAACTTGAAGATGTACCACCACATGTTCATGATGGATCATGGACGAAATTCATGTTCCTTTGAGCATTTGGGCGTGCCTTCATTGTACATGATGTGTCATGTGCAACCTTTTTGAGTCATCAATGTGATCATGTTGATCCATTGACTTGAGTTGTAGATGAGTCAACAATGTTTCTGATGAGCCATCAATATTCCAGCTGATTCATCAATGTCTTGATGCTCCACATATGATCTAGATGTGCCATCTGAGATCATGTGTAACAGCCTGAAATTCAGGTACCTCTAATTAGCCCTTCATCTTTCTTATGTTGTCATTTTGGGCTTATGTGTTGGGCGAGTACGATGGGCGTACAAGGAGTACGCTGCGCGTACTCGCGCGCCTCATTTAAACGCACCATCACCCGAGTACGCTGGGCATACCCAAGGTTACGCCGGGTGTAACCGGTCCAGACCCAAAAACCCTAATTTTGTGGATTGGCTATAAAAGGAATGATATGGCTTGGTTCCTTAGCCACCATCCTTCAGAAAGAAACCCTAAGAGAGTTGTTCCTTCGTTCATAGCTTGTTTGTGAGTGTTCTAAGCTTGGTGGTGTCATTTCAAGGTAGCAAAAGAGAAGAGGAGTCCATTGTGGAGGCTAGAAGTTGGTGTTCAAGTGTAGATCCGTGGATAGCAAAGGTTGGAGCTTCTTTCTAAGGTATAAAGTTCGGATCTTGACTTGTAGTTCTTGTGGTATGTTTTATGGACCATTTTCTAGGGTTTTGGTCCCACAGATGGAGATTTTATGAGCAAGTAGCTTCCATTGGCTTAGATCCATCATATTTATGGTCCATTTGAGTTGTAGATTCATAAAAATGTAATCTTGGACGTGAATGATTAGCCATGCATGAGATCTAGATCTTTTAAGTTGAAATGGAAAAGATTAAGGAGTGTAGGAGCCTTTACAGCCATGCCAAGGCTTAAAGGTTTCGACTTTATGGGTAAGGAGGCTTAAAGAGAGCCGGATCTAGAAGTTGAAGAAGTGTCTTAACCATTTAAGACCAAAAATGAAGAATGGCTGAATCTGAGTGTTACGCTGGGCGTAACTCCCAGTACGCGCATCGTACTGGATGGAGACCCCCAATTGTTGATTAGCGAAGTACGCCCCGCGTACATAAGACTGTACGCCCCGCGTACTAAAAGATGTTGACTTTTGTTGACTTTTAGGGTTTTGGTCAACATGTGGACTTTGAGTCAAGGAAGGGTAAAATGGTATTTTACCCCTCTGAGGAATATTAATATGGGTAAAGTCTAGTTGTGGAAGTCTATATTAATTAAAATAATATTTCGTTATGATTAGGCGGGGTTGGGATTCGGAGATAGCGAGCACGTGAGATTCTAGACTTTCCACGAGGTGAGTTTTCTCACTATACTGTACCTGGAAGGGTTTTATTGTGTGACCGGAAGGTCGGATATGTTATGAGATGTATGCATCGTATATGATAAGTTAACCGTTTGTATGTGATATGTATGCTATACTTGATATGGGCCGGAATACATTATGTTATGGACCGGAAGGCACATATGTTATGGGCTGGAAGGCATTGTGATGTGGACCGTAAGGTTGACGTGGGTAGGACCGGAAGGTTTACCGAGTCGGGATGGAAGTCCCCTAAGACACATGGACCGGAAGGTCAGGGCCTGGAAGGGCGTATGTGCGTAAGTAGTATTTTGGGGAACTCACTAAGCATTTATGCTTACAATTGTTGTGTTATGTGTTTCAGGTACTAGCGAGGGCCTTGGGGAGGCGCCGGCGTGATCTGTACACACTGACGAAGGAATCATTTTATGATCTTGGGATGTACTTTATTACGATGAAATTTGTTATGCATGTGATTTCAGAATATTAAATGATGGTTTATGTTGTTTGAAAATTGAAAAAAAATGTTTTGAAAATTTACGTTGTTACAAGTTGGTATCAGAGCCTTGGTTTGAGGGATTCGGATGCACCTTCGGGCATAATTGAACTCAAACCGAGGATTTGAGAAAAAAATTCAATTAATAAAGGCATAAAAATTTTATAAGAGATTTTGTAATGACCAAAGGAGAAGCAGTGTGTACGGTCAGCCAGTGCCCGAACGGTAAAATCCCCAAAATACCCTTTCAATATGTGTTATGAGATATGTTATGATATGTTATGCATGCTAGAGTAGACTAGGTATTCATTTTAGGACTAGAGTGGCCTGATTTGTGATGCCTTAGTCTAGGGCATCCTGCTGCTATGAGATGCTTTGAGAGCGAGTAGGTAGCCAGTGCATAGCAAGAATAGAGTACTCGTGATCCGGGGTCCAGGGAGGAGGACTTGGGGTGAATGTTGATGCGGTGTAGTCGGTAGTATAGGGCCCGTACTACTGAAGACACCGGATCAGTGGGCTACCCAAGTAAGAATCCTTTGGGTATCGAAGGCCGAGTAGGGTTGCGTTATCGAGTGCGAGTATGCTCGATTGAGTCTCTGATATTTTTATGTTGTATTTCAGAGGAATTATGGTTGGACCACGCCACAGACCTGGGACGAGCGGTGTGAGTGACGAGGAGCTTCGTCAGATGATCCACGATGAGTTGGCTGCAACAATCCGGGCCAAGATTCCAGAGATGTTTGGTCTATCAAGACCACACTGATGGAGACCTTTGATGAGTGGTATGTCGCGGTGATTGAGGCCGCAGCCGATGCAGCTACCGCAGCTGTGGCTGCTGCCAGACCTCAGGGAGGTGACTCGTTGCTATTCCGAGAGTTCAGCAACACGAAGCCACCCGAGTTTGACGGGATGCAGGATCTGATCGCTGCGATGAGATGGATTGCTGACATTAAGGGATTCTTCTACACATGTTCATGTCCGGAGTATCTGAGGGTACGGTTCGCTTTGAACCAACTCCGCTTGGGAGCAAAGGATTGGTGGAAGTTCGTGACGACAAACTTCACTCTTGCGGAGATTTCGGTCGTGACTTGGGAGAGATTTACTACTATGTTCAGAGATGAGTATGTTCCCCGATGGACAGGGAACGGTTGATTCAGGAGTTCTTGACCCTCAAGCAGGGTAACGATTCAGTTACTGTGATTACCCGTAAGTTTCATGAGAGGGCGATGTTCTGCCCTGAGCAGGTGTCCACTGAGCAGGCTCGGATGAGCCGATCTTTGGGTATACTGAGGATGGATATTCGGGAGTTCGTATCGAACTCGACATACCAAACATTTTCTGAGGTCTAGGCAAGTGCCCGGAAGAGGGAGATCGAGTTGGAGACTCAGGCCAGGGAGGAGGCCGAGTCTCAGCGGGTGGATCGGCGGCCGGCTCAGTCCCAGCCGGCAGCCAAGCGGACCAAGTCCGCCGATTCGAGGATGGGAGGTCAGAAGGGCCGCACTTGCGGAAAGTGCGGCAAGGGTCATGCGGGGGCCTGTCGATCAGGTGCTTGCTACAAGTGTGGCAAGGAGGGGCACATCGCTAGGATTTCCCCAAGGGATTTATGGTTTGCTTCCATTGCAACCAGACCGGCCATCGAAAGGCCGAGTGTCCTCAGCTTCGCCAGGGATCAGCACAGGGATCTGCGCCTACTGCTAGGGTTACCAAGACTCGGCCGGTGAAAGCCGAGGCTCCGAAGGCTCGTGGGAGAGCTTTTCAGTTGACTGCGGAGGAGGTCCGCGCGGCGCCCGATGTTGTGGCTGGTATGTATTCTTTCGTGTATTTACTTTCATGCTGAGATATTGTGCTTATATTATGATATGCGTAGGTGCTTTTCTTGTGAATTCTGTACCTGTCTTGGTATTATTTGACTCGGTGTGAGTCGGTCTTTTGTATCTTTGGCTTTTAGTCAGCACATCGGTATTGATCGGGAGGTGATGAGTCGACCTCTGAGGGTTTCCATAGCTGATGAGAAAGTGGTATACGCCATCGACGTGATTCGAGGATGTGTACTCGAGATTTTTGGTGTCAAGTTCCCTATAGATCTTGTTCCTATAGTGATGGGAGATGTCTGTGTCATCGTGGGCATGGACTGGTTGAGTAAGTTTTGAGCAGTCATTGACTGCGAGAGACAGCTGGTGACTATACGAGACCCTAGTGGGGGAGTGCTTACTATGTATGGCGAGGGGACCCGGTGTGGGTCAGTGTTTTGTTCGGCTGCCAGGGCGAGA